TCTATTAAAGTACACACTGTGCAGGCTGGCTAACTTTTTTTTTAGCCTTTTCTCGATTTCAGACACTGCGTTAAGAGCTCTACATATACAATTTCATTTAATCTTGAGACCCTTGATATAGCTACTGTATTTCCATCTTACAAACAAGAAAAGGTAGGTTCTAAACTTGCCCAGGGTGTAGGAACTAGCCAAATTAGGTGGCAAACTCACGTCTGACCCCAGACACTGTGCTCACAGCTTTTCTATACAGCGTAGGAGAGAGATGTATGCCAACATGTTAACAATGGTTGGGACTATGAATAACTTTTCCAGTATTCTTCAAATCTTCACACAATCATATATTCAAACAAAGAATTTTCTTCAAACTGCAAAATCACTTTTAAAGTATCCGGAGAGATTCCAAGAAAAAACTTAGGCAACCTACATCTCCTCGTCTTCATCTTCTTCATCCAGCCAAACTGGCTTCTTTTGAGGTGGAAAATCATCTTTTGCTTCATTCTCCACTTCTGAGTCACCTGAGTCTTCCCGTACTTGAACCTAGGGAAGACAAAATGCCCACAAGCACTGAGTTTCTCACACCCCGTGGTGGCAGACACTCACACCTTGTAGTTACTATACGGCTTGCAGCAAGCTTTGTTTTCATAGCCCTCTGAGGAAACAATGGATTCAATGCTAACACAGCAAGTGCTGGAGACGGAAAAGAAAAGTAAATTAAAGAACGGCACTACATGCTGGACAGGGAAGGGAAGATGGAACTGCCATGGAGGGAAAGTCAACTTGCTGAAAAGAAAAGACCAAGACAAGAGCAAGAGGTAAGCTGACGCGGGGGGGGGGGGGCACAGGAAAAATCACAGAACGACAGAAATCATGGGACCAGAGACAGACTGGCATCAAATACAAAATAACATGACTGTCATAATTAAATCGTATTTCACAGTCTTAAAATATCTCTTCTCCACTTTTCTAAACTGTTCTTGACCCCCTACCTCCTTAAGAAACTACACAATCAAAACTGAATCCAGACCACAGAATACCCCCTGACAGAACTGGACCTTGAGTGAAGTCAACTTAACCTTTCCCAGAACTATACAACAGAAATATCCAAATGATTTCTATTTGCTCCACTACTGGCCTATGAGCCCAACAAACCCCACCTCACTTAGACTGGCTTTTTTCCTGACTAGGAAACTTGTCACACAGTTCAGCGTTTTTCCAGTCCTATTTCTCTCTCCCAATTAGATTCTGCAACCTGTCCCATAAGCACCCAAAGGTAGTCTTGCAATCAAATGATACTTTGGTAAATATTCACTTACCAAACTGAATAGTCTCGGTAAGGCTATGCTTGGCAACCCTATGAAAAATTTCACAGGCCATACCTCTACACAAACTTATCTCCCTTTCTCAAATGCCTTTTTTTTTTTCTCTTCAGCCCTTCACTAACAAACTTGAACTTTATCTTCAGCCTCTGCTTTAGAACATAACCTCCAAAACGGCAGGGATTTTTTCAGTTTTCATCCATTGCTGTTTCTTCTCTAGTGCCTAGAACAATGCCTGGGACTCCCCATCGTGGAAGAAAATCCAAGTATAAGATAAAAAAGAAAAAAGGGAGCAAAAAAATTATAATCAATCACACAGAGATTTCACTGCCAGGAATGAAATCTGGCACTAAGAAGGCTCACAAATATTTGTTTAACACAGTCGTTCTCAAAAGCTAGCCAGTCAACTACTTTAAGAGACTGTTAAAACAGACTCCCAGGCCCGTGCCCACGAATTCTGATTCCACAAACCAAGTGGAAGCCCTGAATCACGGCAAGGTTTTGAGGCAGGCAACTGAACGACCAAAAGGGAAGAAACACTGAGCCTGTAGAGAAGACTGTGAGGCTGAGCCACGAAAAGATGCTCACAACTACATTTCGGTAAATAAATATGTTGAGGGCCTGCTGCATACGAGGCTTAGCCGCTCCCTCGGGGGCGGAGAAAGGCGCGGCCTCCACCCTCCGGAGACTTTCGACCTGGCACCCCCCGACTCCCCCGTTCCCCGCTCTCTCCCACCTGAGCGTTCCCGGGCACCTCAGGTCGCCCGGGCTCCGCCCCGGAGGCTCGCCGCCCACCTGGCACCCAGTCCGCACGCCGCGACCTCCCTCACCCGTGGGCCCTGCAGACGCCGCAGCAGCGCGTCCTCGTCTTCCTCGACGTCACCGAAGACCAGCTCCTCCAGACACCGCTCCACAGCCGGCTTGTCCTCCTCCAGCGTCAGGCGGTTCCGCTGCCGGAGCCGTCTCTCCTCCTCCGCCGCTACTGCCATCGCAGCGGCCGCTGCCCGCCGCGGGGCCGGTGGTTTCCGCTGGGACGAAAGAGCAGACCTTCGGGCCGGCCCGCCTGGCCCCACTCCGGCTCTCCGGTCCAGCTTCATTTGGGTCTTCCGGGCTGGTCTCGCTCTGGCTCGTCGGTCCAGTCTCATTCGGCTCCTCCGATCCGGCGGCATCTCTCGGTTTGAGAAGGAACGCAGGCGCTCACGTGGAACCTCACTGCGCGTGCGCCGAGGCCCTGGCTTTCCACCGCGTAGGCGGCCACAGGAGGCTGGAAGGAGCCTGCGCAGCCTACGAGCCGGATACCGGCACTAGCTCCCTGCGTAATGCCCACTCCCCTCAAGAGCCTCTCCCCGTGTGGGAGTTCCTCCGGCAGGACCAATATTCCGGGTGGTTCTTCCTGACCTCTTAACCACTCGACTTACACAGCCCCAGCT